CACACTACTACCTTCTCTCCTATATACCTCAGCCCTTGCCACCTTTTTTACAACCTGCTCCCACTCCTCTACAACTGCACTGACTAACCCACTTCCACTAATACCCTCACTCACTTTCTCCCTGATGCTCTCTGAAAAGGATTCAACCTCCGCTTTCAAGGCCTCCCTATACTTCGCTCTAACCCCCTCATCCAAAAATCTGTCTACACGCCACTTCCTTATTGTCCGCTTCTGCCTTTTACAACACTTCGTAACCCGGCCCAACTCCAGCCACACTAGAAAATGATCCGAGGCACCAATATCAGTTATATTAACCTGTACATCACCAGATTCCCTCATCAACTGCATATCCGTAACTATATAATCTATCACTGATTTCTGCTGCAGGCTCGGCCTTACTCTAGTCCACTCAGGCTCCGACACTAACTTCCTACCATTACATATCACCAGCTCCACCTCATTCAAGAATGAAATCAGCCTATTTCCACTGGCATTACAAGTCTCCTCCCCAAACATCCCAATGACATCATCAACATCAGTAGATCTACCCACCCTCGCATTAAAATCACCAAGAAGAACAACCCTCCCCTTCTGCATGAATCCAAGCACATCCTCCTTCAACTTGACGTAACTATCCTCAATAACAGAAGCACAAGCACTATCTGTAGGCATGTAAATGCAGCACACATACAATGCTTCCCTCCCTCTCCCACCTCGAACCTTCATCCACACGCTCTCCTCATACCTGACTTTACTTACAAACTCTACCTCGTCTATCAAGCACTCCCGAACCAAGAACCCAACCCCTCCTTCCCATCTACGACTACTCTGATTCTCGCGAGGCTTTCCAAACCATCTATAGTTAGTTTTGTTACAGCAAACAACAAAAATAATTCCCTTAGGCGACCACATGCTAAAGCCCTCATTCGGAACGATTATGCCCAGAGAATTGTGTCAGGGTCATTTCGTGGTATGAAGTTCTGGTGCAGCTTCTGTTCATTTCTTCACACGGCTCACCAAGTCCTAGTGCTCGTATGTTGAGAAATGCTGATTTACTGCTAAATTACTGCCCGGACAGATTGACATTTCCTTCCAGGCTTTGGTTTCACGCAATGCTCACGTTTGCTTACCTAAAGCGTGTTAGATGTATTGATGCCTTTGTACAACTGTAATTAGCCACTTTGCAGCCTTTGGTGGCATAATAGTACTACAGACAGACTGAAACACTAAGTACTGTAACCCTCGTTGCGAATGTGTGGACCCCTCATAATTATTATAAGCATCATCAAGGTTACTTTCGGGAGGTCCAAATGGGGTCTAGGGTTTTGAGATAGTCCAATCATACACAGTAAGTTGACATAAGTAGTCTAATCACACACAGTGAGTTGTATAGTGTTATATGTACACGGAACCATGAGCCACTTATGTAAGGGTGGCAAAGGAGCGTTGCGTAAGGTTATGCCTTAAATAACCCATGCTGCTGTACAGATTCGAAAACTCACAAATATTTCAAATGTTTTTGGAGGCCAGCCAGACCGTATCACAGAATAGTGTGCTGTGTTTCGATAAACTAACAGTTGAATGCTCTTCGCCGCCAGAAGCTCATTATATTCTTTACATAGGTACTTACTTGGATGAATGAATTTCCTGCTGGATCGTCTAATATGATGCCTACATCAAGTTTTTTGCCGTTAATAATCTAGGAAAACAGAAATATAACTGCTAGCTCAAAGGTGTGAACTGCAAAAAAGCTTTTGGTACTGCAGTGCTTTATCCATAACTCGTGAAAATACAGTGCCTTACACTAGGACACAGGAAACTGAGTTTTTGTTTTTACGCTTTGGTCTATAGCTCTCCCGTGCAATAGCACAAGAAGAAAGCTATACATGCCCAGGACCTGGTGAGAAAGCTATTTGTGTTACGCTTACACATCTCCACACTTTAATAATAGCACAACAAGTTCGTGCGTTATGTATAAACTATACATTACGTGAAAAATGCAGCTAATTGTTGGACTGGGCTAGTGATCACTGCCATAAAGTTGCTACATTGTAAGATTATAAAAAAACCTCTGACAGTTTCTCCAAAAACAGAGTCAAATGGGAAAGTTGCACTGAATCTCCCAGAAATGGATTTGATCTCTGAAGCTGCATCTTCATCTCTGATAGCATTCCTTCCACAGTTGTAAACCGGCCACCAACACTTGAATGAGAGCATTCAAAATCCAGAGATGGAATGTGTAGTACACATGTTTCAGACTACGAAAGAATGTGTAGATGATGAATAATAATTATAGTCTGATCCAATCCAGATTTCCAAGTAGAAAATTTACTGTGCCATTTACTGTACTTTGTGTTGCCTATTGTGGTTTTGGAGAGACATTAGGCCATAATGTGCTCTAGCTGCTTACTTACAAAGATTACATCCCGGTTCAGATCTGATATGTTTGCAATTCTGAGCACCGTCCTTGTACCAGTTTCAGAAACCCCACACCCAGACTTGACTTCATTGCTATTATAACCACAGTAGTTACATGTGGTGGCCATTATTACAACTTGCTTGAAGTGGGGGATGTCTGTTGACCTGTTAAAGAATTTGGATTATCACCTGGTTCCATTCCACATTCCACATGCAGTAGGTCCAAGTGTGATTATGATATTTGGTGAAATTTGTGCATTCTACCAATGTCATATCCCAGTGATTGACTTAGACAATGGGCCCTTAATCAGGAGGCTATATACAAGTGTCCTGTATAGGTATAGTTTGGCACCTAAATACGAGTTAGTACACTGCTTGAAAAATGTTTCCAGTCTTATTGGACGCAGCTTCTGCTGTTTGGACTACATGGCGGTAAACTTTCGAAGGAGAAACTTCATGAATTTCAAAGCCATCCACGAAGTGAAACATTTTTTGGCCGGGTCATTTTCGGATAAGATCCTGAGAAACTTTTCAACACTGCATTCCCGTTTGAAACTTGCGAAATTTATCTCCCTCAAAAGTTTCACGCTATGCAGTACTTGAAATAACTTAAATAATTATAAGGAGGTATGTACCTCAAATTTCATGGGTTGAATTCTACTATGCCTAGGAAAAGAAATTTTTAGGCTTTGTTTTAATGTATTTTCTAGCAATAAAAAGAGCCGTGGGTTGGTTTTAAACCCACGACACTCTGTAGTCTATGCTGAATGCTGAGCTACCAGGGCAGTTCAGCAGGTGCACATACAAAACGATACAAGATCAGACAAAAGGCAAAAAATACAATGGCAAGAATTAGTATTCTAATCTGATTCCACTTTAGTCTATTTTACACTCTGCGTGCATTGCACCCAAGTGTTATAATGGTAAAATCTGTGCATTCTACCAGTGTGCATATATCCCAGTGTTTGACAGCTAAGGCCTAGACCACAGGCCATAAATAAGGAGGCTGCACAGAGGGTCCTGTGTTAAAACAACTATTCACGTCCCTAACAGTACATCCCTTCAAACATGGGCAGTTCAGCAGCAGGTCACATTAACAACAAAAGACAATGGCAAAATTCAAAACACTGTGCTAACGGCATGTAAACACTCACCTATGTAAGAGCAGAAAGGACAACCATCAGGTTTTAAGGCAGTGTACTGATTCATACACAGAACATACAAAGCAAGCCAAATGTTTCACATCTTTGGACCGCAGACATACAAAATGCTACATACTGTGAGCTACAATAGACCACAGAAGTTGTGGATACCGACAGTCTTCATTCTGGTCTCAGTTGGAGAGCTGCAGTTGTAGCAGTTAGTTGGGAATGCCAGCACCTCATCTTTGTCCATTGGTCCAGTTCCAATGTCTTCTGCAGAAGCTGAGGTCACCTCACTCTGAGAATAAAATCCACATCATCAGTAAGTACGGTAGTACTTAGTATATAGGGATGACAGGTTGTCCTGTATCATGCCCATATATTTGAGATTTGTAAGTTTAACTTTCTTTTTCTTAATCACATCCCACTTCTGACATATCAGTCTGATCCCTATTGTCAAAAAGAGCATGTACCTAAAAATGGCTTAAATCGCATATTCGGTAATTGATATATTCAAGAAAGCCCGTTTTTAAAAGTCTTCTTCTTGTTGTTCAGTTTAGACAAGCGTATCTCAAAAACGGGTAAGATATGGAGATGAAACTGCACAGATATTGGAATCCATGACAGGTCTTTTGTATTTCTTCGCACACAGTTTTGTTTGCATGTAAACAACAAAATAACCAAAAATAGCCCCAGGCCATACATTATGATAGAGACAAATAAAGTGTGCTAATTAGGTAAAGCTAATACCCAGAATGATAAAACTTAAAAAACATATTCAACCAATCGTTGGTATCAAAATGTAAACATTACAAGTTTGTAAACAACAACAAACAGCCCTAGGCAATAAAACTTGTAAAATTTGTTTGTGCCTATAACTTGCTTATTGTGGGTCCTCTAACAATGAAACTTGGTACACTGATGTACCATGATAAGAGTTCATCGAAAGAGAAATTACACACGTTTTTAAACCAGAACAAACACCCTCAGGCAATAAAACTTGTATATGGTGTTTGTGCCTCTAACTTGCTTATCTCTCACAATGAAACTGGGTACACTGAATTTACCATGATAAGAGTTCATCAAAACAGAAATTACAAGTTTGTAAACAACAACAGCCTCAGGCAAAAAAAAACTTTAAAATGCTGTTAGTGCCTATAACTTGCTTATGGTGGTCCATGAAACTTGGTGCACGAAATATTAGGACTGAGGCGATAGCGTAAGGACACTAATGTTACTTTTTATGGGCTTATGCCCATAATATCACCTTTTTATTGCACACCATGCATGTAAATGCAGTACAAAAGGAAAGGAGACAAGCAAATAAAATTTCTTCGAATTAAAAATGTGTGGAATATAGGGATTCCATAAAAAGCAAAGAGACAAGACAAGGATGACCTAGTGCATGTGATGCAGTAGCAGAATGGATGATGGTTACATCTTGAAACTGACATTGCTTGCTCATGTAAAATTTCCTCCACACAAGCCCTATATTGTTGCCACCTTTCTCACAACATGAATTTGTTTAGTGTGAGGACAGTGGTAAAGGGATTCTCTGGAGGGCCACGAACACAGCATTGTAAAACTCATTGTTAGTTGAGCGAACATGGAAGTCATAGACTGCACACAATGCAGTCACAACCAAAAACCGAGTAGCTGTCAGAGAGGGCAACACCTGTGCATTACGTGCTTAGGAAATGAGTTTGTAATTATTATCCCATTGTACAAATGCATCAAATACACTAAGTCATCCCTGTCTTGTCTCCTTGCTTTTTATGGCATCCCTTAATAAGTTGTATTTACTTGCAAAATAAACATTTGAGGGGCTACCATTGATCACGTATAAAAAAAAAATTCATACAGCAAGCAATTAAATCCCTCCACAGTTCACAACAGGCGAACACAGGACATGATGAGCAAAGAGGTACTTTTTAGGTTCAGCTTGTTTTTAGCCAATCTATCTGGTTTTTAGCTAGTCTTTACGTGGAGAGGACTAGAGCGTGCTTGCCCACAGTGCCTCTGCTAAGTACTGCAAGATGTGTATAACATTTTTAAAATCCATGAATGGTGAGTAAGGTATGCTTAACAAAACTGCAGAAAACACTTATTCCCAAAGAAAAAGGCTGCCATGGATTGGACTCGAAACCACAACACTCTGCAATCTAGATAGAGTGCTGTATATACACCTGCCCCAAAACACTCAGTAAATCCGTGGGTTGTATAAGACACACCTTACATGAGGTTTTCAACTGCGCACACATCTGGACTGATTACCAAACCCAAGTTAAAACTATTAGTTGGCTTTAGGCTTTCTCTTCCTGTTACTTGTGTGTCGTTGAACAGCAGGTCGTGTGGCAGCATCTGGCTGCATGACGAAACAGTGCACATGGTAAATGTGAGGTTGGCAGAAGTTATTGATTCTAAGCCTCAAACAACTCAGTTAATCTTTCAACTGTTTAAAGCCACTTTTGAGATATTCAAGCAGCTGATGTACTTTGACATTCAGTTCTCCCAGCCCTCAAACATTATCACCAATTGCGACACACAAATGTATTACTATTTTGGAAAATATGTCACACACTGGTGAACTGGAGGCACCCTCGAAAAGAGGAAAATGCTGCCAATAAAGCGTTTAAGTGTAAAGCAAGATAACATAGGACAGAGACTTGGGAATGGTGCAAAACACCAGTTGGACAGAGAAAGGAATGGGGAAACGATTTTTCACAGTTTGTAAAAAGTAATACACTAATAATCAAATGTGAGAGAGCCACGAGAGATTAAACTCCGGACCTACCACTGAAGGCCACAGCCAGGAAAACGAGCTGAGGTAACATTGTCATCGTTGCAAGAGTTTCCTTTGCAGCCAAGTATATCATGTGACACTAAGAGCATGTTTGCATAAGCTAGTGTTCTGGAGCATGTGACCCAGAGTAAAGGAGGGGTCCAGGCTGTATGGTCAGTCCATGCACGTGGCACATTTTATTTCCTTGACAACAACTCTCACTACATTTGCTGTGCGCATGACTCTCATACTGAGTGAGAGTATGCTGTGCCATGGCACAGTGGTTTGAGTTTTGCGTATTGTGTTGCAGATTCTAACCTTATCAGCTGTGTTGCCCTGGTAGCTCAGGTGGTAGAGCGCTCACCTAGACAACAGGGTTCGAATCCCACCTAGGGCAGCTCTTCTTTTTTCCTTTGAAGAAAGTGCTTTCCAGGGTGCCTTGCCTTTCTACGTCGTTGATGTCACATGCAACTCTTCCATATGAAAATACTTGTTCTTATATGATTATGCTAATAATTTCTTATTTGTGACATTCTGCATACCTGAGTTGTTATGTTAGCTCCTAATTGTTTATCTTGCTGTTCAGACCTCGAATAGTGCTCCACATTCAGGGACGGGTCTGCCATTGGGGCTAGTTTGTTCTCAACATAACTGTTTCCAGCTGGATCATCAATCACCTTTCACAATAGAGATAACAAACAATACCTTTCAACCTTTCATTAAAAATTGGAGATAGGGATCTTCACCTGTAAAAAACACCAAGGTCGCAAAGCAAATGTAAAGCCAATAACACAATTATGTAGGGCAGCCTTATGTAGGGCAGCTCTTCTTTTTCCTTGGAAAAAAAGAGCAGTCCTGGGTGTAGTTGATTTGTTTGTTGTGCTTTTGCCTTTCTACCTCGTAGTTTTCACATGTAATGAGAAAGAGTAGGTATGAAAGGTAATCTAACATAGCCTACAGGTCAATTCATACCAACTCGATCACTCTAAACAGGCTTTTACTCGCTCCCACTCAGCAAAAATAGCTAAATTTGCCTACTAGTATATAAATTTGTTTGTCTTCGTGTGTGCGCGTGGGAGGGGAGGCGGATAGTGGCTGCTCTATAACTCTTGCACCAACAATCTTATTTTGTTACGAATCTTTTCACTGGTGCTGTGCAAGGTTGTGGGGCTAGGAATCCTATTTCTAAATTATACACAAGAACTTACAAATGTAAACTTTTGCTTGAGTTCTACACAGTCCCTTAGTTGTTGAATGAACATATCCAGCTTTGCTGCTAGATCAGGATTCAGTGCCTACAGTATAATAAAAGGTATGTGTGAAAACGTGCCTATACATATACAATGCAATGCATTATTGGTGACGTGAAGTTATATGAGTGACAAAGTAACATAAAGAAATTTGCTTGAGGCTATTTGTTGTTGTTTACAAACATGTATTGTTGTGTTGTTGATAGTGGTCACTGAATACATGGTGTGTACAAACTGTCATTTGCATAGCTCTGAGTTACACTAACAAACATGTCCAATTATAATGCATTGCCTGGGGCTATTTGTTGTTGTTTACAGTAAACAACAGTGCTTACAAACAAAAACGTATGACGTTGCACATGTGGCTATCGATATGTACATTCCTACAAAATTTAGTATGTATACTAAGTACTACCACACTTAGTGATCTACTGTACATGCCTTATTCTAACACTCAGAACAGATTTTTTAATGAGTTCATAGACTTGAAGCTGTTAAGCTAAACTTCGGCTTTAGGACCTCTGTGAGCCAACGAGACGGTTGTAAAATGTTAACTTCATAACTGCATGCTCGTGACTAGCCTCATTCCCGGGCCTCCTCTCTCAGAGCACAATCTTTTCGTATGAACTTCGACTCCTGGAGATAACTGGATAACTGGCCTGCAAACGTGTGATGCTAGTAGACACTGTTATGATGCTGATACATTTAGGTGGACAACGAAAGCGATATGGGATCATTAAGAGAGAAGCACATGATTGGTAAAAGATGATGACAACAAGTTAGCTTATAATATTGGTCCTTGGGAACGATAGCCATGGCATCGACTCCGCAGGATGGCCGTTTGAAGTATTAAAAAAAGATGTGTCAAAGTCCATGTACGTAAAAGGCTATTCTGTGGAGTCACTGCCACTGCTGTGCTTAATAGCCTTGTCATGGTCTTACTGAACTGTGCTTAACTCCCCTGGCTTGCTTCACATTCCAAGCATCAAACAATACCTAAACAAATCTATTACCATTAAAACATGTCAACCTCAACGCGCTTGCTCATGTGATGAAATACTATAACTCTGACTGTCAAAGGTCATACACAGAATTGTGTGCAGAAAGAGGGCCTGGAAACGAGGCATTAGCTAATAATAGTATACATACCTTTCTTACAGGCTGTTCCTTTTCCAGCCCTACAGCAGCTTTCAGGAGTATACTTTCTATTGTTGTTATACTCCCTTCATTGGTCGATGGAGGGATTTCAAAATCCAACTCAGGAACACACACAGTTGCTGTGTCTGCCTTTACAATAAGTCGATTTAAATCCTGATAGGAAAAAGCAGTGCAGTCAGTTTGCTGCTAGAAGCCGAGCTTTTGTGAGAAAGGAAACAGCAAACAGGTTTAGCATGCCACTGAAACATTTCTGAGCTCACTTTGCAACTAAAATATGGGATTATGACATTGAGTTATTTATTACTTTATCACTCCAGGTGTGCATTCACAGCGAGGGTTACAGTACTTGGTCTGTGTGTGTCTGTCTGTCTGCAGCTACTGGCACTACAGGCTATGATGCCGTCTATAGGCGATACCAACGGCTTCTACTAGTGCATGGAAAAAGGTTTTTTCATGATAATATTATTTTCAAGAGATAAGCCGTGAAAGCAAGCGAAAAATCCAGTATGCATAATCAACCACCAGCTTACCTTCACTAGGTTTAGCCTGTTCAGTGCTCAGCTGAGGGGTGAAGTTACTCAAGGGATTGTGTATCTAGTCCAGCGTTGCTCTAAGTGCTATTCTATAATGCAGGATGCTTATAGAATAGCATTAGCCAATTGCCAGAGGCTTTTTGTTAAACATCTATTGTTGTGTTTTGATGCTGGTAATTCTAACTTTCATTCACATAGCCCTTAACATTTGTGACACACTTGTGTCAGGGCCTATTTGCTGTTGTTTACAGTAAACAACTTTGTTTACAAAGTTGCCAGTCTCTTTGTGTTACATTTTCAACATCCTTTAATATGGCGTGTTGGTTATTAGTTAAGGCCCATACACCTATGGTGCTAGGTGCTGTACCTGGCCATCCATATATACGTTATACTAAGTAATACCATACTTAGTGATATGTATTTCAAAATTATGACATTGTAATACATGTACATCGACACATATTGGTGGGCTGTGAGGGCAAATATATGAGCCCCTCCCTTTGTTGTTTGTTGCGAGCCCAGCCAAGAGAAAGAAGGCTGGGGTTGCTTTCCATTGGCAGGTACTATAGTAGGCGAGTGAAGGTGAGCCCACATGTGCAAACAATCCAACCGCTGGCTTCGCTCGTCAAAATTTCATTCTAGATGTATAGTGTAGTATATATTTATAAAGTGTTGAGAAATTCTCTGTCTCTGATTAAATATGCTTTAAAAGAGTGTTTTGACGGTAAGGACCTTACAGTGAAAGGAAGGGATTTGCATCTTGATACTCAAAGGCATTTCTGTAGTCGGTATATACTTGAGGTATTATGAGGTGTAGTAACTGGCCCCATATGTTTTAGCTCACGTTAAACTTGTCAGAGAGCATGTATGCCTGATGAAACACCGGTAGATTTTTAACCCTTAGGGAGGGTACCGTACTTGGTTCGTAAGTCTGTCCACCTTGCTTTGCTTAATTTAGTATATTTCAGCTTTAGGATCGACATTCTTAAAATTATGTTCCTAAATTCCTAATGGCAGCTGTCTAGCTGGCAGAAGGTTCCAGTGTCTAGGTATATATTCTCAAAAAATCAGTGAGCTAGGTTGTGGAGGCATTCTTCATCTGCAGCTATATACAACTAGCACCAAAGTCTTCACTTATGTGATAGTGGATCATAATGTGTAATTAGATACCCGAACGTCATGCGCCACACCACTGCCACAATACAGAACGCCAATCTTTCTACCTCTGGATGCTGCACACTGAATTTATATTTCACTCCTTTCGGTTCCATTGCAGCTCCGGATTGTATGCTGCTATTGGAGGCACCACAGTGAGGGCAATGGAAAGATGAAACCACCACTTCCTTGAACATAGGGATTTTTGTCAGCAATAGTCTTGTTTTTCCCTAAAATGTGTTACCAGAATGAGAAATATTATCAGTGGCATGGTTACAACAATCGTCAGTGTACTGTATGACACAGACCCCAGATCTGTATATACATACACTACTAGAAGTGCATAAATGGCCGATGATTTTAAAAGCTTATTTAGGATAACCTTTCAGAGCCTCCAACTCAACAGATTTTAATTTTACGTAATTCGAACACCATTTACGGGCAAAAATCAAAGAATGCGGAGAAGCGCGCTCGAGAAGGCGTGACAAGTATAACGACAAGCGCGCTACGGAAAAGTTACGCAAAATACGGAAAATTTGTTATATGTGCACGGATGACTGTAAAGTTTAGTTGGAGGCTTTGACCTTTCCTCCACCTCCCCTTCATTAAAATGATGTAATAAGGTAGTCTCGGGTACCAAAACCTTCCAGAAGGAAGACTAGAAGAGATTAAACTTTGCCACAAAGATTGGAATATAGGACATGACAAGTTATGCAAGAGCATGATACAGACGCCTCAAGCATGTATGTAATCCTCAACCTATGTGCTAAATCATATGCACCACTTCTTGGCAGGCTTGCTGAGGAAACCTACAACAGTACACCCAGCATTGTGGCTATCTATCTACATATTACAGCTGTGTAGCTTTAGCTAATGTAAAAAACTTACATTTCTCTCACAATCCATACACAGACTTTCCACTTCAACGGGACCGTTATCTTCTACGTTCTCACCAGTAATCTCACCGAAAAACGGCTTCTGCCGTGGATCAACACCACCATCTTCTTCCATGTTCACTTCGGTGCCCCGCCTTCTTTGGCGACACGCGGTTACGCTTTTGGCGGGAAAATTCGCGGTAAATTGAGCGAAGACCATGGCTCTGCTGAAGAAATTGGTGTCGTCGGCTGTTAGTCAGTCTGGGAACATTTCAAACGAAGGTGAAGGCATAGAAACATCTAAATAAGCCTACCTTACGTCAACCCCACACGCTGTAGCTCTTTTGTGGCCAAATGTGGAAAACTTCTGCTGTCACCGCGAGGACGAAGTTTTCTTACATGGAGGGATCACAGGGGTAAGATACGACTGACACATAGTGAGTGTTTTTTCAAACTTGTTCATACTTTTCTCTTCATTGCTTCACAGGATCCTGTACCCCCATTTGCGTGCCAGTTTTCTCCAGGTGTAGATACATACATGCATAAGTGTAACTCCATTCATATTCATTACATCTCCTTAGAAATTCCTTATAGTCATATTCTGGCAGTGGCAGATGAAGAGGGGATCACTGCGGCTCCTCAATACAAGGAAGTATGCTGCACAATCACTTGTCAAAGGTGTGTTGTATGTTACGTGACATTTAAGCATACCTATATTGCCCTCCTGTTTCTTGTAAGCCCCCTCTTGATTGCATAATTACTATTGGATAGCTCATCAACTTTAGCCATGAGAGTATGCTTATGGTAATTAACCCTTGGCGCACATGTGCAGCAAGGGTTACTGTAGTTGTCTTGCGTTTTTGTCTGTCCGCACCCAAACTCCCTTCACGAGCCATGAATCGCTCCACAAACAATACCACGTGTTCAGCGTCGGGTATACGTCGAAAAGTATGTGGGGTTTTCTCTGAAACTGTTGCGTTCGGGAGTTACGGCGTGAAAACCAAGTGAACGAGCCAATATGCAAATTAGCACGGGCTTACCTCGAGATGCGCTTGCTCTGTGTAACTTGGAGGCACCAGAGTTGAAATATGGGATGTGTATCGACTCTCGCATGTTATCTAGTAGTGTAGCTAGCCCTTTACTGACTCTCAGTGACCTGGTAGGAGAGACTACGAGTAGGTAAAATGGCCCAGCCCATCAATTACCAGTACAACAGATGTACGTACTTCCGTGCGTGTGCCTGGCACAATCCGTTTGCGCATGCACAAGATATTCTAATCCCGTACCAAGCCTGTTCATATGGCAGATGCACAGCGAAAGATGTGCGTCACTTCGTAACATGCTTACCTCGTCTGCAGCCACTCACAAAAGACTGTGTGTGTGTATTGTATTTATTGTGACTTGCGTGGGTGGATCAAAGCTGCCGCGCGTACTCTTATTTCCCGTATTGTAACACGCGAGCCACGCGTTCAATAAAAGAATTATTGAACTAGCATCAGCATCGTACCCATAGTGTAGACAAAAACTGTTCTGTAGAGGCTGTAGAGGCGAGGGATGACTGTTCTGTAGAGTCTGTAGAGGCGAGGGATGGCTGAGGCGACCACACCCCTTCATTCAGCTCCCAGTGGCAAGCGAGACCGCGGCCGCGGCGCACCGACCGGTCAAACGGCCGAGCGACCTATGAAACGAGTTTCTCTGAGGGAGAAAGAGCCACCATCACGACCTTATTCGATTACGATAGCCTCGAGAACAGAGAACTCGCTCGAGAAGCCAGTGTGTGCGCATGGATAGTAGGCTACGCAGTCGTATTTCTCTCGCTGGAGGTCAACGACTGCTACAAAGTCACAATAAAACCATAATGTGCATCCTATCGTTCTAAACTCGGGTTGTGTCTCGAGACCCATACAGCACTCAGCTGCGCCTCGTGCTGTATGAGTATCTCGACCACACCCCTCGTTCCCATAAATTACGTATAGAACTTTAAACGCACATTATCTCTTACATATAGGTGGTCTTCCTCAACTTTGCTTTGACATGGAACCCTTCTCTAGCGAGCATGCGTGTCTCCGCCGAGGGTTTGCACTTTAGTGCTTTTCATTCATATTTGATTGGTCATTCATAGAAATTTAGTGTCCCAACTTCGCAAACTCTTGGCGCAAAAGAACACGTGCTTCTTCTTCTTCTTCTTTTTAACCTCCACGCTGGGAGAGTAGCCCGTTTAATGGGCAGAAGTTAAGAGGGAGTTGCGGCCGTCATGGAGTGCAGTCAGAAAACAGATGATAGAGCGCTGGAGGGGGAGGTCATCTATCCAATGGATGCCCAGCATTATGTCGACAAAGGCCGAAGGATCGGAACAGAACGAGGAGTGTAGGTCCGCCGGGAACATTGATAGGGTCGCAAAATGGAGAGAGGGCGGGGCAATGGTATATGAAGTGCGCTGGGACTTGCATAGTTTTCAAGTTGGGTCCCTGGTGACATTGGAGGTGAAACGGCAGACATCTGCTTCTAGCCCATGGCATCCGACTAACAGACGAATTCTGAAGTTGTTTAGTCTAGACATCTTCGGGTTGCCACCCGTTACTAGCCAGTGGTGGGATGGGTTTGCCCAGCTTCTCTAGATCACAGTCAGAGAGTGGAAGTTGAGAGCATTCCTGCATGAAGGTGGAGTATTCAGTTGCTAGGAGTAGCTTCTTCACAAACCGCTTCCAGGAGAGCTTACTCCAATCACCATCCAGGATAGAGTCCAGTGTGGGGAGATGGTTGATCTGGATGACGTTTATGAATCTTGGAATAGCGCCTCTTGTGGGATTGCAGGAGAGACGAGCTGACATGACCAAACGCGGGAGTGAGGTGGTAGGGAGAGTTGAGAGTGAGTGCAGGATGGATAGCTGACGTTGCTGGCTATATTGGGGATGCCCATCAAAAGTAGTAGCGCCTTGTTGTTGCAGCGAAAGGGAAGTCCAGTAATGGTTCTCAAGATTTTCCGGTGAGTTCTTTCTAACATGGTTAGTTCAGGTTTGGTTGGTGACCAGAGTTCGCATCCATATAACATGATCGGGAGGCAGAATGAAGAGTACAGGCGTATGGAGGTGGTGGGGTGTAGGCATCCAAATCTGAACCCCACAGCATTGAGGGCATAGAAAGAGCTCCTGCCTGCAGAGCATCTTTCTGAGATGCGGAGGAGTTTAGAGGATGACACTAGGCGCAAAATTCCAAGATGGCGTTGGCTGTCACATTCTGGAACTAAGTCAGGCCCTAGTTTCCAGGACCTGGATGGACGATTTCGGGATCTGGTAGATGGTGACTCACCAAAGATGAGGATGGACGATTTGAGGGCGTTGAAGGATATCTCCAGTGGGTGGCATAGTCGTAGGCTATATCAAGCATAGCTTGGAGTGCAGAGCAGGAGTTGGAAATTAGAGCAAGATCATCGGCATACATAGGGGCGCCGCAGTAAACATTTCCAATGTGGACACCATAACAAGAGGATTCGAGACGTAGTAGCAGATCGTTTACAAAGATTGAATATAGGAGGGGGGAGAGGACAGCTCCTTGACGGACACCTTGACAGATAGGGAAGGGACGTGAAATACAGGAATTCCAGAGGACTGCAGATGTTGAGTGGCAGTACCAGTTGTCCACATGTATGATGGAAACTGGCCTTCAGCTAGCTTAACCATCAAGCCACGAACACCGTGTGGGTACAGCTGAGGCCCTGTCTGAAACCACCTTGAAGCAGATGTAGCATGGACTCCTGCTCTGTCAGACGGTTTAATAGTAACTTTTCAAGGACTGCTGATTACTGAGAGAAGGTCTTTGTTACGGCCTTTCGGAATTGGAATAATGAGTCCATAGCGAAAGGAAGATGGAATGTATCCGGATTGGAGTATTGAGTTAAAGATGGTTGCAAGAATAACAGGAAGAGTGGGACCAGCATATATCAGGTGTTCGTTGACTAAATTATCTGGACCAGCGGGAGGCTCTCGATGATCGCTGCTATTTCTTCGCTAGTAACTAGGTCTGGAGATGTACTGGAGGTGCTGGAGGACTGTAGGAGGTCATAGTATGACTCTAGAATTCTCAGTTGGTCGTGGTTATAAGGAAAATCTTTGGGTGTACTGAGGGATTCAAGGTAGGAAGCCCATCCCTCAAGAATGGAGGAGTCATTATAGATAGTGTCATCATGTATGATATGGTTTGTTGGAGGTCGCAAGTTGAGAGGTGACATGCGATTGCGGACTGCACGGAAGAATCTGCGAGGATCTGTCTCTGAATCTAGTGAGGAGTGGCGTTTCTTCCTGGTTTGTCTCAGTGATTGTTAAAATGTTTCTTTGCCGCCTTATAAGTCATAAACACAGGGTTAGTTGGGTTTCGCGGTCTACCTGCAGTGACCCATAAGCGGTAGCGATGTTTCGAAACCTTGCATGTGCATGTGGCTTTCAGTGTAGGAGACCAGCCTGGAGTTTTGAACGAGCAAAACAGTTTTGGTGGAATGTTAGTGGAGGTGTTAAGAATAACTGAAATCAGAGATTCAAGGAGTTGATCAGGATGATGGTCTGGGACGAAAAAGGCTGGATTGATTGCTGAATTTCCTTGAGTTGGGGCTGCAGAGGGATTGTATAGAGGTGCTTAATGTTGGCCTTTGTGATGCCATCCCAATTCCGCCTAGGGGGGCAGGAGTTGTTGGTAGCAGTGTCAGTTGGAGTAGAATGAACAGGTGAGGATGGAAAGCAGAGTTCTGCCATTACAGGAATGTGATCAGATGTATTCAAGACATCTTCTTCAAGAGTTCGGGCACGGGAGACCTGAGGTAGGAGGTGCTGAGAGCACAGGATGTGGTCGATGGTTGAGAGTGAAGAGTGTGCCTCACTTTCATAGGTGTGAGACATAAGAGAGCTAGAGATATGTGTTGATCTGCTTGCTGGGCACCTGTCTACGCCAGTTTTTCCCTCTGAACACTGGCTAGCTTCATTAGATGGTAGCGTTTAAAGCAACGCTACACATTCTCTGCGTAACTTCATACCTCCACAATGCACTGAAAATACTGTAACCCTCGCTGCACATGTGCACAGACGATTAATAATTGGCAGAGTAAATACGTGTATAGTCAATGAGAGAGTCCTAGTTCTTATCCCCCCCTGTCCTTGAGTATTGTGTGGTATGGTATTTGTTGAATGGGTGCAGTGGTCTTGGTAGTGAAGCCCAGTCCATTGCTTTAAGATCTTGCTTTAAGAGGCCAGTCTTGTAACCTCCACAATCATCTGTGTCTACATGTGGTATTTTCTCTTGGTCCGAATTCCCAGTAGAAACATGTGGTAGAACATGTGTATAAGCGGTAGTCCTGTACCTCCCCTTTTTTGAAACATTCTTCTGGTTCAAAATGGTCACCTTTGCTATACCAAATTGTTCTCACACTGTATCTGACCGGGGAACTGGAAAGTTACAGACAGTACTTTGTGTTTGTGTCATTCGTTCCTTTGTTTTATGCCACTGTGGGCAAGAAATTGGCCTAGTGTAGCATTACCACTGGCTTCAGGGCTGCGCCTGATTGATTTTAAAACTGGAAAGTTTTCCTGTTTTGTGCTCTGTTATGTAAGGTCCGCTTTCTTGGTTGTGGCGAGTCAGCATGTGTACGTAATCAATCATGTAATTATCCTGTCAAGCGCTCCCCCAATTTGTTGCGCTGCGCATGCGCAGAACCAGTCGGCATTGCAGGTCGCCTTTATGCTTTATGTCACATGATAGTTTTAAATCCGGCAATCTGATTGGGTTACAAGTTCAGCACAACCAAGAAATCGGGCCTTATATACCAGACCTTTTCGTGGGGGAGCACGTGATGGTCTGGGAATGAGACTAAACTCACTAGTGATAGTGTGGCCCAGCCCATTATTTAGTAGAATCTTCAATGGGTAATATGCTACAATGCACATATGTACGGACATGCAATCATTTCTAGTGCAGACGGTTGCCACTTTAGAGCTTTCCATTCCTTGCAGTAGTTTGTCAACGTAATATCTTGGGGGGAAACTAAGACAGCGACTACCATACCTCTATAACGGTGACTGCCATGTGGTATCCTGGTTGTATATAGTTTAGGAGGCTACCCGTTTCGTCCTGGGAGAATGAGACAACCCAGACCAACCCAGCCTCCAATTGTGTAATTCTTGTCATGACTCTGGCAATTGTAAGATCACTCGTCTGTGCTGTTTGAATTGCTTCAGCAGCCAGTCTTTGAGCAGTTGTTGGTTGGCCTCCAGAACTGGAAAAACTGGTAAGTTTTCGTTCAAAATTGTCATTGCTTCTTCAGAGGCTTTTATCAAATCTAGTCAGTTATTTTCCTACCTTTCTCGCAAATCCATCACTGAAAAGCCAAAGCTAGCCCCAGAAAGCAGGGAACTTGACGTGGTAAATTGAGTTAGCAAAAACTGGTGAATGTGTATTTACAAGTTTGGAGTACAAATGTTGAAAAACATGCTCACTCCCTCTTCCTTTCTCTGATGGGTTTACCTCTCTGGTGTTATCAACTGTCCAACTTCATGACTGGCAAAGTGACACTAGCCATGCTCCAGTGTGCATTGTTGTAAATTAGCACAATATATCACTAAAACAAGAGGTAGACCACATTTGCACACTGTTTTGATGGGGAATTCCCAACTGAAATGCATGCAAGATTTGTGTACTCCAAGACAAACAACAGTAGCAATAAATGGGTCCTCATATATTTTACGTTGCCATCATTAAAGACGTGTGTACCAATTATTGTTTTTGAGTCTTAACCTTTTCAGCGTGCATGTGCAGTGAGGGTTACAGCACTTGTCTGTGTGTGGTAGTCTGTCTGCAGCTATTCTGGCACTGAGGTGGCCTATGAGCGATACCAATGGCTTCAGAATCACGAGAGCCTGAAAAATGTTCTTGAAAAGGACTGCATTCAGGACATGTGGCATTAAAATTAACAACAAACCCTAAACTGCACTGGCTTACCTCGACCAGCACACAATGGAGGGGTTAAGTTACTTAGGGGATGTGTATCCAGGCTATAGACGCTGCCCGCTGATGAAGCTAGCCTGTGTTAGAGAGCTCCGTTGGCCCGGCCCACTGATTCATGCAAAATTTTTTGATTGTCCTGTCCAGATATATATTTGTTTTTCTCTAGAACTTGCAACTCATTCCAATGCTATTTTCGATATAACTTGGAAGCCAGGAGGGGAGCAAATTGTGAGTTACAGTATTGACATAACCGTTTGCAAGTGTGTGAGTTACTGTTTGTAACTGATGTTCAGGTATGTATGTATGTTTACATTTTGGCGTCCATGCCTTACAAATAGATAACAAGTGATCAAACTCACTTCTCAGCCATCAATGAATAGCCCAGAGAACGTTAAATTATGGTATGGATCAAGTGCTGGCGGAACCAACCGCATGCTGCACTTTGCACCAAAAGTAATAATTAACCCTCGGCGCGCATGCGCAGCGAGGGTTACTGTAGTTGGGTGTGTCTGTGTGTGTGTCTGTCTGTCTGTTACTCTCAATCTCACTTCTCGGGTGTTTGTTTGTCTCACAAAGGATACGACCTACTTACTGGGCAATGAAGGTCAGAACTTTTGAACGGTTTTCTCTGAAACTGCTCCGTTGCAAAGCTATAGCGCGAAAAAGCTAATATGCAAATACACAACGGACGACCACAGTCGGATCGATCCGCATGCTCTGCGTACTTCGGAGGCACCAGAAGATGCAACGCAGGGTGTGTATCGCCTCTCGCATGCTATCTAGTAGTGTAGTTAGACCGCGTCAGACTCTGCGTGAGCTGGCAAGAAACCACGAGAGTAACAGCTAAAACTAAACCCGGCCCATCAATTAGTGGTACGGCGCATGCGTTTACCTACGCGTGCGCGTTACAGTGCGCCGAGGGTTTGCACTTCAGTGCTTTTCATTGTGTATATGTAATTAAGAGATTTTGATGCTTATACTAAAATTGCCTCTAGTTCCCAGAAAGCATTAGCGTAGGTATTACCGTATGCGCACAACTTTGTATTGAAATGCGGCTACTACATTTATGTGGATATAGTCCAGGATAGCCGTGAACAGGCCAGAGTGGTGTATCCATGCAGCCCATGACAATGTCAACTCCATTGCTGAACTGATCACATTCGGAGCATCGAAGGTGGATTTTGCCCATGGATTGGGATGTCTTTCTATCGACAGCAACATCTCCCCAGGATAGGTCAGTACTCTGGCTGAAGTATCTTGGCGACTCAACCAGTAATTCCCACCAAACGGAAAAAGGCTGTGGCTGCAAAGGCATATACAAGGGTGCTCTCTGGTCCTGGGAGCTGAGACAGTATGTTATTGGCAATCTCGTCCTTGGTGTAACGCCACGAGCCAAAAGTGCCCAGCTGATGCCTGCGAGGACGCTATTCAGAGATGATTGGTCTTGTGGGTCTGGGAGGCCAGGGGACAATTACAGGTTCCGCACCGCTGTCAATGGAGCCAGCCCTCGTCCGCAAGAAATGCAGCAAAGCAGCAGAGTATGTGTTCGCCTACAGGGAATGGGGAGATATGTTTTGTATAAAGGTTGTGGAACTGCTTTGAAGCAGCAGTGTATGTTTTCAGCGTTGCAGAGCCTAAACCGTGTTCGAAATACTTCTGAACTGATCCCGCCATTGCGGATGTACCCGATCTACCCGAGGGTCCAGAATGAAGTCGATGAGATCCTGTAGCGCAGGTGGTGGCTGTAGGGGTGCCTGAGGTACGGTATGGGCAAAAATAAAGGTTACACATGTGTCACTAACATTGTGCAGGTGTTCAGACAGTGATAGGTCAGATGTTAGATGCGTGAAATCGACGGTAACGCCCACCTTTTCTTGCATCCGCAGTATAAGTCGCATGTCGAAAATTTCAAGCAAATTTCTTGATAAAGAGTGTGACTTATACTCCGGAAAATACGGTAGATCACAACATAAAAAATCTAATGATATGCATATTTGGAATGTACTATGAAAGCAATACTTTTGTCGTCGTGCCAAAGAGTAACTTTCAGAAAAGTGCTGATAAAGATGCAGAACACATTACAGGGCGATGTGAATTAGCCACTGTTAGCAGTGCAAAATACACACAAAATGGTATCTAATGTTATGGTTACTTTACACTTTCAGTTTCATTATCAAAGGCACCTGCTGAGTACATGAGTCCTTCGGACTCTTCTTTTTGTCCCCATACCCCTTTTTTCGCCTCCTTGCTGCACGTCTTGCTTCTTTTCCTTTAGTACTGGATTTCAGGATACTTCTTGTCACTATGGCCCTGTCTTATATCTTTGTCTGTACTCTGTCAAAGGTATTTTCAGCGTGTCACAAACGTTCGCTAGTGAAGCGAATCCATCGTTGAAACATGTAACGGCCTAAGCGCAAGCAAACTCCACATTGTTGCTACCCATGTGCAAAATCTGAGTGTAATGATTCATTTGCATTCTGGTGATAGCCATGCAGACACTTCTTTTGGTGATCCCCTTTGCTTGGGCCCTTTGCCACCCACACCAAGACCTTTCTCCTGTCGGACACAGATGGTGGCGAGGGTGATCATCAGATGGATTTGTGTCAAGCAACGATGCTTGCCCTGCACGAACCATTGCTTGTAAGTCTCCCTTGTTCTGTCGAATAGCATCACCGTAGTAATTTTGAAGGGAATTTATTAGCCCATCAGTGAGCCGACCTGCTCTGCCTATTGTTTTTCCATCATCAACTTCCGGCCCCTGTAGGTTACGTACCTTCAGGTTTCTCAGGGCACTACCCAAGCGCTTTTTAACATGTCCAACGCAGTCAAGCTTTTGAATTGGATGTTCCTGGCCATATGGCTGCAGGCTGCTGAGAAGTGAGAACGTTTTGCTGTCACCGTCAGATATAAGGTGGGTGTACAGAAGATTGTACTGTAGGGATTGCTGAGTTTCATGAGACTCCATGGCTGGAGCAATACCATCATAATTCATGGAACATTGCCTCGCGTGACTTTCCTTCCACTGCTGATACTCGGGAGAGCTCTGGTCCCACGATTCCCAGTGTTTACACCCAGCACAAACTTTTGACGTGACGTGGTAGTCAATTACTTTCCCTGTTGTATGTGCTATGACAAAGACAGCCCCGAACAATGATGAAAACCCCTCTTCTGCAACTGACTAATACATCAACTACTGATGCACCAGCCAGATCTTACTTGGTGTCTAGCACCCTTTTGTGCGACACCTGCACTCCCACCTACAATTTCCTTGGTGTATAGGGAGTATGTACATCTTGCCACTGGTGGAGGTAGGTCCAGCATGGCAAAAAACATGGAGAGACTGGAGTGGGTGTCACCAATACACTTATTTGCAAAAGCAGATTAACAGCTAAGGTCTTGCTGGGCCCACAAACACTGAAGCTAATAGGAAGTTTTCTGCAGTAAAGGTAAGATGCTGTATAATATATAGGGTAGCAGAAGGTATTATGAGACACTTAGCTCTAAACAAGGAGTACTTGCAGAAGCTTAGTCCAACCACAATTTTCATAGGTTTAACAGTTAAACTAACTCCAATTCTCTGTAACTAATCGTAATGATCAGATACCCCCAGTACTTGACAATTTTGCATTAATATTTAATTTAATCCAGCAATGCATTTATGAGACAA